ATAAAATGCTATAAAGAACACTACTGGGTCAATTGAAAATGGTAGATTAAAGAAGTCTGTCAATGTTAAATTTATTGAGGTTGTTTACTATGACTACAAGAGAAAATACCCTGTTCTGGGGGCCTGGGTGGCTCAGGTCATGATGTCCTGGGATCGAGCCCCGCATCGGGCTCCCTGATCGGCGGGAAGCCTGCTTCTCCCTCTCCCACTCCCCCTGCTTGTGTTCCCTCTCTCGCTGTGTCTCTGTCAAATAAATAAATAAAATCTTAAAAAAAAAAATACCCTGTTCTTAGGAAATAGTAAACTAGGATTAAGCAGTATAAATATATGCAATTTACTGTCAAACAGCTCAGAAAAAAATCATGTGTGTATGCATACAAGAATAGAAGAGGGGAGGCAGGGAGAGACAGGATATTCCTGTCAGAGATTTAATTCATTCAAAAGTTAAATGACCCAACCTTTTCAGTCCAACACAAGACTAACTCCTTAATTATATACTAAGTCAAAAAAAAAAAAAAGACTAGAAGTATGACAACAGGCAGAAAACATGCAACACGATAAAAGAGCATCAGCCCTAAACACATTTTTGTTTTTCTTTTTCCGCATCCTGTTCACTCCCTATTGACTATTAGTCAGCCCATTATGCAATTCATAATAATCTCATCTTTGGGGACATTTCAACTAATCTGATGATATCCACCCTGCTAGGAGGGGTGCCAGTGAATTACTTCACGCAAAATTGGTTAACTCTCGTAAATAAAATTTAACACTAATGTAGCATAGTGGTTTTTTTTTTTAAGAACTTAGACCTTAGATTCAGTGTATTAATTCTGGTCTTGCTGAATGCTAAGAATGTGACCCTCAGCAAGCTGGTTAACTCAAGCCTCAGCGTCATCATGTGAAAAATGGGAATAAAAACAACACCCACTTCAGAATGTTGATGTGACAATTAAAATTATACCTCCCGGGGCACCTGGGTGGCTCAGTCGGTTAAGCGGCTGGTTCTTGGCTGGCTCTTGATTTCGGCTCAGGTCAGCGTGGAGTCTGCCTGAGATTCTCTCCCTCCCCCTCTGCCCCCCCTAAAATAAATAAATCTTTTTTTTTTTTAAAGATTTTTATTTATTTATTTGACAGAGACACAGCGAGACAGGGAACACAAGCAGGGGGAGTGGGAGAGGGAGAAGCAGGCTCTCCGTGGAGCAGTGAGCCCAATGTGGGGCTCGACCCCAGGACCCTGGGATCATGACCTGAGCCAAAGGCAGACGCTTAACGACTGAGCCACCCAGGCACCCCAATAAATAAATCTTTTTAAAAAATCACACCTCCTGACTCACAGTAGGTGCTCAGAAAGTGTTAAGATAGTAAACAAAATGCTTTAGTTAAGAAGTAGGTAGATACTTGCTTCTTTTATTAAGACTTGGGTAATTTCTGAAAATTTCAATATAGTAGTTGAGATAGAAATTAATACATGTATATACACACTTTGTGGTATATGAGGCACAATTGGAGAAATTGGAACACTAGCGTTGAGGAATTATTATTTTAGGAGTGATAAGCATGTTTTTCTCTATTGTAGAGAAAAATTCTGAACTATAAATTGAATGATATGGGATTTGCTTAAAAATAATAGGGTGGAAGGTAGAGATCTGACTGACCATTAGCTTGCAATTACTGAAGTTGGGTGATAGGTACACAGGGGAATCATTACATAACGCCCTCTACTTTTATGTTTAAATTTTTCCATAATAAAAAGTTTTCTAAAGAAATGAAGACATTCAAAAGAAAATAAGGTTGGCAACATTCGCTCAACAGGGCAACAGGGAGATTAGTTGAAAGTTTAATGAAGACTGTAGAAATAAGGTAGGGAAAAAAGTGTAAAACCTTAAAAGACTGAACAATAATTATTTTGGTATTTAAGAGACTCAAGAGTTGAAAATAATCCAAAATATATATGTGCCCAAGGTAACCATGAAGAAAATAACGAAATATGTGTACCTTAAAACTCTCCTGTACTCCCTGAACTCTTCTCTCAGGACAAAACCCTTGCTCTTGACCCTCACTGACCATTATTACAGCTGTTTTATTTCTACACCTCACCTTCTTCCTTTCCATTATTCTTTTATCTTCCAAATAGCTATTTTCATTCTCAGCCACAAATTTCAGACTACTACTACTATATAAAGTTGAAGTAATAAAAGAGTAAGTAATGCTGAATACAAACAGAGGCTTATTGGCTTTAGCCACAAATACAATTACTTTCAAAATCTGGAGGAGGTCTAAACCACTACATGCCAACATTCAGTAGCTCCTCCTTCCTTGTAAAACAGCCCAAACAATGTTACTGGGTACCCATACTGGAAACACTGATTTTTAGTATATAAAGCATTTTATGAAGAATTTGGACAGATTTATTCAAACTTTGACCAGTACACATTAAGTCATGGTAGAAAGAGCACAATTTGGACTCCAAGGGCTAGGTTCTTACCCAGGCTCTGGCAACTACCAGCTGAGTTCATTCACTCAACACAGGAGCATGGAATATATACCAGGCACTGGGACAGATACAAAGATGAACACAACAATCATATAAATAAATGGTTACAATATATTTTGGTAAGTGCTACAAGAGAGGCACATATAAAATTTATAGATACACCAAACATTTTAATGAAATATTAGATGATTTTTCAGCTCCAAAATTCTATCAATTTAATCTGAATTCCTTTAAGCTTTTTAACTAAAAGGGAATATCCACAAGAGATAATCTTCTATCAAAAGATGCTGCCTGAAACTTAAGCATTTGTAATAAAAGTATCAGCTAATATTTATTAAGCACCTAGTATGTGCCAAAGGATAGGGGCTTTCCATTCATTGTCTTCTCAATTCTCACAATCCCAAGCAGGAAGTAGTAGTATCACCATTTTACAGATAAGGAAACAAAAGTTCAGAAAGACTAAAATAACTTACCCAAAATCTTAGACACACGGTAAGAAAAAAAACAGATATTTGAATCCAGATCTTTTGATTCCAAAACCTATTATTCTCTTTTCACTATTTGTCTTGCATTTTCTTTCACTACATAAAAATTTCCAGAGATCACCTTAAGAGCACCCAAGAGAAAATCTTTATGACAGCCATGAAGTACAAAGTGATCTGATTGTAATAAGCGTTTTTTAAACAAGAGTATCTGCTATATACACCCTCTAAGACAAAAAAAGATTACAACACTAAAATATAACCAATATTCAGGGTAATTAATATGTGACATGAATAAATACATTCTGAAAACTGGTTAATAGAAACCAATGAGATTTTGTGACTTCTGTTTTATCTTTCCCCTTACCAGATAGCAACAAGGAAGCAGGGACTGGCCCAGCATATTTTACTGTATCAACATGTTGGATTCCACATAACTATTTAAAAGTGCGTATTACAGAGTATGCGGATACAAAATAAAGTATATGAATGTTGTCAAATAAAAAATGCAATATAAGCTAAGTCTAGAATGCCTAATAAAGCTATGTTGAAATAATAAAATTATGCATTTATTTTTCTGTATAAACCTCAATCATTTTTTGAAAATTAATTTTTCCAATTTATCAATACTAGCTGCAAATCTGAATCAGCAAACACCCCCAATAAATAAGTCAACCCTTTACAACAAATGAGGGGGAAAAAAGAAAAATTTTTTTGTGCACAATTCCAAAGCCGGTTAGAAAAAGAATTTGAATCAACATCAGTTGCCGGATCCTGGTAACAAGTTTTTCTTCAAAAAGCCTTCATATTAAAATAGGGGTTTTGGGGGGCGCCTGGGTGGTTCAGTCCTTAAGTGTCTGCCTTCCGCTCAGGTCACGATCCCAGAGTCCTGGGATAGAGCCCTACATCGGGCTCCCGGCTCCGCGGGGAGCCTACTTCTCCCTCTCCCACTCCCCCTGCTTGTATTCCCTCTCTCGCTGTCTCTCTCTGTGTCAAATAAATAAATAAAATCTTAAAAAATAAATAAAGATAAAGGGGTTTCCCCCCCAAATTTGTCCTTAGAGTAAATCTTAAGAAAAATCAGCTAGAGGCAGCCGTCACTGTCTAGTTCAATTAAACATTTTGTACTAACAGAAGTCTCCCTCATTCGCAATTATCTCGAATAACAAAAGATCTGTTTCAAACGTCCTCAAGGATTGAGCTGTGCGGTATACATTGTCCCCCCCCACCACCACCACCACCACACACACACCTTTAACAGAACGGGGGTCAGCCTAGGAATCACACACAAACCACTAACGATCCGTATTCGCGATTCCTCCGAGAAATTTGTAAATAAATTATCAGTACCGTTTAGGAGCCCTCCGTATCCTGCACAGAGGTGACATTTTCTTTGCTTTAAGGCTGCAAAAGGCAGGCACAGAGACAGCGACCAGCAAAAGCCGCTGGATCTAACATCCCCCCTTCACCCCAACTCCCCCTTCCCCAGCCCCAAACACAAACATGCTCTTCTCTCCACGCTTCTTGCACAACGTCGCTCGCCGCAGGACTCGGCTCAAGCTCCACCGCCTCGCTTCAAGGCCAGACGGGAATGGTTACTCCCTCCTCGGTGCTCCCGCACCACCGCTTCCTCTGGCTGTCAGGCCTGGCGCGGCCTCAGCAGGCCCTGCGCCGATGGGGAAGGGGCCGCCACGGCGTTGCCCAAGGGCTGTTCTCATTCCTCCGCCCAATGCAACGGCGTCGGGCAGCTCTTCCTGAAGCAAGGTCCCAGCGCGGTTGCCCGACCCGGCCCTCCAGGGCAGCAAAGTGAACGGACGCGGTAGCGGGGCAGGCAAGCTTCCCTTCCCATCCGGGGGGTCCCCCAACCTCCTCCCGCCCCCGCCGCCTGCCCGCCGCCATTTTGTGCGCAGCCGCTGCGACACAGATACAATAGTCGGCCCGGACCGCACAGGAAAGGCTCAGGACCCCCACACTACGGGCTCCCGCCTTCCAGCCCCCTACTCCCCACAAGGCAGCGATCCTACCTATGCCTACGCGACTAACAGCCGGATCCCATTTGCGCCCCACACAGTTTAGCACTCAGCCTCCAGTCTCGACGCCGAAGAAGCTACCGCCTCCAGAGGGCTGCACGCATGCGCACCTATCGAGCCCTAGCGAGCCCTCATCTGCTCCCGGCGCCTGCGTACCGCCGGCACCGCGCTCGCCGGGAGGCACGAGAAAGAAGCCAGAGGAGCTTGGTTCCGAAAGGGGGCGCTCTTGCGCGTAGCGTTCTCGGAGCCCACTCTGTCCTCAGGCACCGTTGTCAATGCCTCTGCCTGCTCTGTACCTGTCCCATCCAAATCACGCGCAACCTTTAAGACCTGTGTTGTCTCGCCTCCGTGAAGGCTTCCCTGACCATTTTTGCCTTCGGTAATATCTCGCACTGTATAGCATAAGTCTTCATATGGTTAAGATTTTGCCTGCCTTTAAGCTCTCGCCTTATATCTATTTTTGCATCCCTATAGCAATGATACGATGCATATCACAGCCACTGAAAATGTCAGGAAATTAGAAGTCAGTTGAAGCTTATTAAGCTAAAAGCTTAACACTCTCAAAATCTTTTCATGTGTCATTTCACAATCAAAATACCTATGTGGTAGATATTCATAACCTTCATTTTACTGATGAAAAACTTTGGGTTGAGAGAACTCGAGTAACTTAAGGTTATTCTACTATACCAACATAAAAGCTCAATCATTGGGCAAAATCTGATAAAACTCCCAAGTCTCGCCTATGGATACCACACAAATCACACCACCTACCCTAAGTCTCATGCATCGGTTTTACCTAGCATCCAAGCAGATGTATATCTATCTATCTATCTATCTTTCTTTCTTTCTTTCTTTCTTTCTCTTTCTTTCTTTCTTTCTTTCTCGCAGAAATGTATTTCTTTTATTCACATTAAAATAAACATAGAAAAAGAAAAGTCTTTTTATAAAATATATCTTACCAGATTTTCATTTCAAACTAAAAATCCTGCAGAGGCAACAAACCAAAAACAACAAAGAAAAGGCCAACAAGCCAACTCCACATAACCAATGTTAAAGCTTGAAGTGTTTCCTTCCATACATTTCTATATATTCATACTAACGTACACAAATATGTTATTTGCATGCAACGGGAAAGGCTCTTTTTCTTTTTTGCCAAAAACTTGGACATTAGCCTGCTGGTTCCTTTTCTGACTACTGACATTTCTCCAAGTAAAGTAAACCATATCGATCCCCTTTCTTAAATAGTTGTGCAATATTCATAGGATGGCTCCATCATCAATTATTCAACCTGTTGACACTAAAGTTCTTTTTAGTCTTTTTGATACCACAAACATTGCTCATATATAAACAGCCTTACCAACTGATATTTTTATTTCTAAAGGCTAGAATTCCAAGAGTTAGACTTCTACATTAAAGATATATATATGTATATATGTATATGTAGATAGATTTAATTCTACTAGATATTGTCAGAATCCTTTTCAAAAACTTAATCCAAATTCCCACTTCCACTCAATGCATAGGAGAATGATCATTTCTCCACAACCTCACTTCTTTCTCTAAACTCTAAAATGACTTAAATATCACTGGACATGTCTGTTCCTTAAAAGTTGGTATAATTACGGGCACCTGGCTGGCTCAGTCAGTAGAGCATGTGACTCTTGATCTCAAGGTCATGAGTTTGAGCCCCACATTGAGGGCAGAGTTTACTTAATTAAAAAAAACAAAAAACTGGGTGCCTGGGTGACTCAGTCGGTTAAGTGTCTGCCTTCAGCTCAGATCATGGTCCCAGGGTCCTGGGATCGAGTCCCACATTGGGCTCCCTGCTCCTTGGGAGTCTGCTTCTCCTTCTACCCCTCCCCCCTTGCTTGTGCTCTCTCACTTTCTCTCACTCTCTTTCACATAAATAAATAGAATCTTTTTTAAATTAAAAAAAATAATAAAAATAAAAAATAATTTAAGTTGGTATAATTAACCTTTGAAATATCTTACCTGTGCTTTTTCTTTCTTTTTTTTTTAAAGATTTTATTTATTTATTTGACAGAGAGAGATAGCGAGAGCAGGAACACAAGCAGGGGCTGGGGCGGAGAGAGGGAGAAGCAGGCTCCCCGCTGAGCAGGGAGCCCGATGCGGGCCTCGATCCCAGGACCCTGGGATCATGAACTGAGCCGAAGGCAGACGCTTAACAACTGAGCCACCCAGGAGCCACTCACCTGTGCTTTTTCTAGGTGTGGCTCTTGAACAACTTTCTCTAGATGTTTTTATAATATATAATTTGTTAGAATTTCTCTCTCTTCCATGCAATCATATTTGCAATTTAATTCTCCTCAAAAAACATCCATTTCTAGAGGGGAGGGGGGTGGGGGGATGGGTTAGCCTGGTGATGGGTATTAAAGAGGGCACTTACTGCATGGAGCACTGGGTGTTATACGCAAACAACGAATCATGGAACAGTACATCAAAAACTAATGATGTAATGTATGGTGATTAACATAACATAATAAAAAAAATCCATTTCATCTGGGTTTATTTATTTATTTGAGAGAGAGAGAAATAGCATGGGGAGAAGGAGCAGCAGGAGAGAGAGAGTCCCAAGCCGACTCCGCACTGAGCACAGAGCCCCATGTGGGGCTCAATCCATGATCACAACCTGAGTTGAAACCAAGAGTCAGATGCTCAACTGACTGTGCCTCCCAAGCACCACTCATCTGGGTTTTCAAATTCATTTCCCTAGAGCTGGGCAAACTAACCTCATAAATTCGTTTTTCTTTTATGTTGTCCCCTTACATAGTTTTATTTATTTCTGCAGCACTTATCACCTTCTAACATACCATATAATTTATTTCTTATTGTTTCTTATCTACCTCTCCCTCCACTAGGACATAAGCTCCATGATGTTAGGGATTTTGCCTCTTCTCTTCACTGCTTTATCTCCAATACCTAGAATGATACTTGGCACACAGTAGGAAAATTAGTGTATATTTTATAAAAAAATAAATAAATGACCCTGATAGGTAAAAAAATGTGTGTGCATGTGTGTATGAAATTGCTGAGCCTCCTTTCATATCTACTGGCCATGGGCATTTCCTCCTTCAAAAAATCTTTTTAATCTTTTGCTTGTATTTCTAATAAGCAGATTCTTTTTCTTTTTTTATTTATTTATTTATTTTTAAGATTTTATTTA